AAAGCATTTCTGTGTGTGTGTGTGTGTGTGTTCAGAAACGAACGAACTCTGTCACCCACTTTCAACTCAGTAACGGGGTGAGCCATAATGCAACACTACTTTCCCAGCCGACGCCCTTTTCCCCCGCATGCAAGAAAAGGCCAAAACACAGGTGCATGGGTTCCACGATGTTAAACTGTAAAACAACAACTATTCATACTGTTAACGATCTGACTGCGTCAAGTTTAGCGCAAAAACGCATGATCACATGGGCAGGCCTGACGCGTTGCTACCTGGTTCTATTAAAAGGTGGCCCGTGAGCTTAAGTAAGTATGTAAATCGGGCCCAAGTGTCGCCAGAGATTGCCCATGCCTGGTCTGTATTTTGTATGTAAAAGTGCTGTCGCGCTTTCGTTTTTGGCCATTTGATGCATTAGGTACGCGAATTTTCAGGACCAAGATGTCATCCGATGACGAGGATTACAAGCCATCCCGATTCGAACTGCTGCCGTTCTATTCCGAGGAAAAGATGAAGGTCACAGTTGTGTCCATTACGGGCAAAAAATGGGAGGAGGAGATCGATAGCTATGAAACTGTGGACAGCTTCCGGGTGAGCAGGAATTCTTTTTTTTTTTCATGCCCGTCTTTTTCCGGCTCAGAAGCTTTTACAGGCTCTTTCTTTGCCGGGAAGAGAATGTAAAAGAAAAGTTGCTATTTTCCGATGCTCTGAGACTGCGATGTCTGAAAACAGTTTACAGGCAAAGTTATGGAATAGCAGTCGTATGTACCCGTACCATCAGGGTTTGGTATTCAATAATCGTTCGCTGTCGGATGAGGTGGGAAGTACTTTTCTCTATGATCTCGGCATTCGTGATGGCTCGGAGATTAAACTGGTCATGGTCACGCGTTCTGGGCCGCTCTCGATTGCAGTCCCGAAGGAGACCACGCCAGTTCCCAGTTCAAGTCCGAGTCCAACAAAACCTGCATCCGAAATGTTAGTCGATCTGTCATCATTATGTTTTCCGCTCGCATTTTTCATGTTTCATTTTTTTTTTTTTGCTTCGGAACCTCTGTGGCTCACTGCGGCGTGAAGTAAAACATACCCGGAGTGCCTGGAATATTTTCCAGTTCATAGTGCGGGTCGCCGTCTATAAAGCCGGCAATTCTTCTGTTTTCGTAGTTGCTTTGACCAGTGCTGCATTATTTGATGGTCAGCTGGATGCAGTCCTTGCGTTTGTTTCATTTCTTAAAAGGATTACCAGCTCAGCGATTTTCCGGCAGAAGCGTTTTAAAAGTCATTAGCACTGCCAAGAAGTCCTTGATGTGTGTTGAGCATCACGAAGTCTCTACATTTTAGAGGCAGGGTGATTTCTGAGAGGTATAATAAAAGTTCTTTCCACCAGGCAAGTTCTCCCTGACCCGTATTTTCATTTGTTATAGCTGTTGTTATTGTCATTCTAGTAGCATCACTGACGGAGGATACCCACACTGATAGCCCGAGCATTCTTGGTATCGTTTCTAGAGATGTAACTCCGGGAATTAAATTTTGTGCAGAAATGTATAAGCAGTTCTTAATTGCAGGGAGAGCGAAGAAGAGAGAAATGGTTTGGCTGGTCTCCGCATGTTTGACTATAGCAGGATGGAGGAGAACAGGCGCACGATGTCGAAAATGTGGGAGGTGCGCCGACATCTTCGCCAGAACAGCTCTTCGCGATCGGTCCTCAGCGAAGTCCGTTTTTTATTGCAGTTTTTGTTGACTCTTTATGAGCCGCTTGGAGAACGATGAAAGGGGGGATTGAGGACCGCTGCGAAAACAACTTAGGTGGGCGGTGGAGACAAACATTTCCCTTATCCCGCTATTGTGAACTGTGAAATTCATGTGAAAAAAGAAGTACGATAGCGGATTTTGCAAATTTTTTTTGTATTTCCTTCGACGATTTTAGCAGGGAAAAGGTTTTTCGGCGCCGGAAGATACAAGTGCCAAGGAGAGCTCTGCTGGGGACACGGAATGCGACGATGAGAAGAGCTTCTCCTCATGTGCGTCTGCCAAGGTAAGCCCTCCTAACACACTGCACCACTTCTTTCTCACAGCTATGGTTTTATGATTGGCATGTTATTCTAGATGTGTGAGGCGGCGGCGGCGGCGGTGGCAGCGACGGCGGCAATTCCCGCAGCAAAGAATCTGGAGAAACGAAGTCGTCAGAATTCTGCGAAAGGTTCCATTTCCCTCTCATAACAGATTAGAAGCTTGGAATCTCTCTCTCATGAATCTGTTGCAGAGGAAGCTGCAAGTGCTTATCGCGATGAAGCTGCACCGGGCAATCCGACACGTTCTGCGCGTCCGCATCCTGCCATGGCAGTTCATCGAAGTGGTTCGCCCGCAGCATCTGTCGATGTTTCGGATGAGGGCTCCGAGCTCTCGCCGGAAGTAGTGATTGATTTGAGCAGCGAATTTAAGAAGTTGGTCATATTTTTTGTTACTGCGTGCTCAGCTGTGTGTGTACGGGTACGAATGAAGCATGATCAACTGGCGTTGTCCTGGTGAGGAAGGCATTAGTCAGCCGTTTTTCCCTCCTCTTATACGCAGTTTGAAAATTGGTCGTTGGCACTGGCTGCTATTTTAAAAAAGCCTACGCGACATTTTTTAACAGGTGGGCTAGGATTGTACCAGCCTCTGCCAGTTTAACGTAGTAATTTCGAGATGTTGGACGACTGTGGCACTTTCCGCAGAAAAACGACGTGAAAGAACTGCACTTGCAGCAGTAATGTTTAACGGTCAACAGCATTCGCGAGCTAGCGTGTTGAGCTCGTCTCATCTGTGAATTGTTATAGGATGCGTGTGCGCCGCAAGCACCACGGGATGAGCGGTGGCTATACTACCATTCAGCGTGGTCCGAGGGGCAAAGCTCGCGTAATTTATATCCCTCCGGTCCCGGAGAAGTATCAGGTAGCGTTTTCCACTGCACTTTTTCAGGTCCCGTGCTGCCACATGCTCTTTTTTTTCGTGCTTGGTTGCTCGCAGTCGGATTGGTGTGCGTCGTTTATTGCAGCGCATCTGAATCAGCTGGGGTTTGTTGTTCGCGGCTTGTTGATATGGTGGTGGTATGCGCATTTCAATTCTAGGATGCAACATCGAGCGATGACGAGGGCCCCCACCGTGATGGGGATATGCTGGCCTCGTGCTCGAGTGGCCGTCGTTCGTCTGCTGCATCGCGTGCTCAGAAAATGTTTGGTTATCAGCCACAGCTGCGCTGTAGCGTCTGTGATACCAAATTGAGCAGTTTCCCGGATGCAGTCCAGTGCAGGTTAGCATCTTCTCGAATTTGGTCCAGTATTGGTTAACAGTTTTTCTGGTGGGGTCCGGTAAGCGTTAATAGCCCTCCTAATTAGGTTCAATACAATTTTTCACTTTCTCGAATGTGCTTTCAGTATAGGTTAACAGTTTTTCGGGCGCGAACCGGTACAGGTTAACAGCCCTCCGGATGAGGTCGACTGTCGGTAGCATTTTGTCGGTTGTGGTTCAATCCAGGTTAGTAGTTTTTTGGATGAGACTGAGAACAGGTTTGCAGTTTTTCGGATGTGGCCAAGCGCAGCGAATGTTTTTACATTCGATAACCCATTCTTGACACCTTTTCTTTCATTTTCGCAAGTGTTCGACTGTATTCTCATTTTTCAGGCAAAATTCGTCAGCGTCTTCTTTGAAGTAATCCATTTGTTTTGCCTTGCGCTTGCCTATTTGCAGAGTAGTCTTTGATTTGCAGGTGTGGCAAAATGTTGTGCGATCGTCACCGCCCAACCGAGATGCACACCTGCACACGTGTACACAAGCTTCAGAATGTCAGCGACTGAGGGATGCAGCACGCTGAGAAGTAAGCGGCCGAGCAGATTTCATCGAATCGAACTCGTCCACTGTTTCTCCAGTATTTCGTCTTACTTCAAAGAATGGGAGGCAGTCAGTAATGTCAGAAAAACGTCATGCATCGCAGTATTTGCCCCATATCTTTAAAAAGTAGGAATGGGTGACTGCGGTGGTATTCATATTGCTTTTTCCATTTCCTGCGGGGAACAGCATGTATTACTTTGCAGATATAAACCTGGGGCTTGCCATAAAATATTGCAAAAAAGTTAATGGATTTAAGTATTTCAGGATTGGGATTGGCGCTGGCACGTGGTCTGCGCAGTGGTTCAGTTTCGCGTTGGAGTGCTTAGCTAGCTAATAGTGATTAATTGATGTTTTTTCTATTGTATTTCTGTGTTGCAGGTTTCACTCGTGGTGCTAACACAGCACTGTTTTTTTCTCTTACACTTTATATGAGCGCATTCTTTCATACTTATTTTGTCTTTTTTTTTTGTACATTATTACATCTTTACACTTATCTGTTTTCATTTTTACTGCATTAACATTGACTGGGCGTTTGTGAAGCTGTGCCGAGACTAGGATCCACAGGATGATTTGGCCAAGCCCAAAAATCTA